AAGGCTCTGCACGAAGCAATCATAACATATGACAGCTATATAAAGATTGACTTTGAATCTTGAATCAGATTTTCTAGATGAAACCTTTAAAAATGTTACTTTAAAAACAGATAATTTTATTTCAGCAAGAGTATGTGCCAAATGTCTAAAGGGTGGATGAAATCTCTTGAAATGTAGCCTCTCTAAGATATTCTGGTCTTATGGGCTACGTGAGCTATTGCCATCGCTTAGAGTTGATCGTTCTTCTTCGTCGTAAACTTGTTTAAAAAGTTTTCCTCTGAAACCACTGGACTATACTCAAACAATCTTAGGCTGGATGATCTTTAGGGTATCTATTATAAAATGTGTCACGGCCAATCAACCAACATGCCCACCATTGCTAAATTTGAGTGTGCATTCACTATTATTCGTGGGATACTATTTATTGTAGATGACGTGGGTATAGTTGAACCATGAATTCGAATGTTCAACTAAAAGATAATTTCCTATAGACTTGTATGCATAACTTTCGAAAACCACGAAATCAAGTATCCACAAAAATTCAATGTATCCAAAAAGTTAACAATTCAACACTGTAATTAGATATTTGAATATTGTTTTTATTGGTATAAATATTGATTTTGTTATCAGTAAATTAAAAACCGAACTAAATATTATTGTTATACACATTCACGATACTACAATCTGTCGATACCTATATTTTGGCATTGCACTAGGCCATGTTTTTCTCTGATTGTTAATGACGTCTTTACACTAAATGCATTGGATAATGGGTGTACTGATTGATATTTTAGTCTTAGATACATGCTTTTTTTGTATTAGTTGTTATTGGCATTGAACTAGCTGCCAGTAACTGCGAGTACTCTCAGATCTGTACTTTGTGTCTTTTTTTGGTTGTGAGGGATATATGAATACCCTACCACGTCCGGTCTTTGTTTTTGCAGAGACATATTTAGTATATATGTCTCTGAGAATTGTAACAAGACACAATCAGAATGAAACTCCTCAAATTTATTTCAAAGTTAAAGAAGATCTTGACACTCTGAGGAGTTAAATTTACTCTTTGATGGAGGTTTCCAAACATCATTCCTATAAACTTTGGTCCAGATAGGCCACATCATTTCATTTGGAAATTAAAAAAATATGAGATTGACAATGAATGAAGGACATCCAGCGAAGGCACAGTTACACCGACTCTTTGTAGAATACAACAGTAATGGAGAGACAAGACAAGATACCAAGTGAAGGCAATAGTAGCACGGACTCTTTGGCTTTGTACAAGAAAAAAAGGAATGGAGAGGTAAGACAGACAGATACCAAATGAAGGCATTAGAAACACTGATAGTGTCCACATGTGGACACAGATGATGCCCCCGCTTGCATATCATATAGTTATAAAGGGACATAACTGAAGAACGGTAAAAGTGACGCTACCCAAATTTGAACTTGATCTGAGTTTTGTGGTAATAAGCATTTTTTGTAAGTCTCATATAACATTTGGTTGAGGCTAACTTAAGTAGAGAGCAGAAACTAAAAATTCGGCAATTTTTCTATTTGTTAACACGCATAACTCTAGAACGGTTGTGTATAAGTTTTATAACATTTGGTTGAGACAAACTAAAGTTAGAGAACGGAAACGAAAAATTCAGCAATTTTTATGTTTATAAAGGGACATAACTCAAGAATGGTAAAAGTTTCGCCACCAAATTTCGTACTTAATCTGTATTATGTAGTAATAAGCATTGTGTATAAGTTTCATAACATTTGGTTGAGGCAAACTAAAGTTAGAAAACGGAAACAAAATATTTGTACTTGATCTTAGTTTTGTGGTAATGAATATTGTGTATAGGTTTCATCATGTTTGGTTGGGGCAAACTTAAGTTACTGACTGGAAACTAATAATTTTGCAATCTTTCGATTTATAAAGGGGCATAACTCATTAATGATTAAAGTGACACTACCCAAATTCAACTTGATCTGTGTTTTATCAGTGGAAGTCAAAATTAAACATTGCATTGTATAAAGCATTGATTGTAGTTGATTCAACTATAATCATGGACAAAGGAAGATAACTCCAATTTTAAAAATTACTTGATATTTAAAAGGAAATAAAAATTTTGCAATTTTTCCATTTATAAAGGGGCATAACTCTAGAACGGTTAAAGTGATGCCACCAAAATTCAAACTTGATCTGTGTTTTGTGGTAATAAGCATTGTGTATAAGTTTCATAACATTTGGTTGAGGAAAACTTAAGTTAGAGAACGGAAACCAATTTTGGGATGTACGTACGTACAGACGGACAAGGGTAAAACTTAAAGCCCCCAACACTACGGCGGGGCATAAAAAGTAACGGCGAGACAAGACAAACAGATACCAAGTGAAGGCAATAGTATTATTGACTCTTTGTTCTTGTTGAATAAAACAGTAATGGTGAGACAAGACAGACGGATACCCATTACCAAGTGAAGGCAATAGAATCACTGACTCTTTGTTCTTGTTGAAAAAAACAGTAAAGGTGAGACAAGACAGACGGATACCTTTTACCAAGTGAAGGCAATAGTATCACTGACTCTTTGTTCTTGTTGAATACAACAGTATTGGTGAGACAAGACAGACAGATACCAAGTGAAGGCAATAGAATCACCGACTCTTTGTTCTTGTTGAATAAAACAGTAATGGTGAGACAAGACAGACGGATACCCATAACCAAGTGAATGCAATAGAATCACCGACTCTTTGTTCTTGTTGAATAAAACAGTAATGGTGAGACAAGACAGACGGATACCCATTTCCAAGTGAAGGAAAATAGTATCACTGACTCTTTGTTCTTGTTGAATAAAACAGTAATGGTGAGACAAGACAGACAGATACCAAGTGAAGGCAATAGAATCACTGACTCTTTGTTCTTGTCGAATAAAACAGTAATGGTGAGACAAGACAGACGGATACCCATTACCAAGTGAAGGCAATAGTATCACCGACTATTTGTTTTGTTGAATAAAACAGTAATGGTGAGACAAGACAGGCAGATACCAAGTGAAGGCAATAGAATCACTGACTCTTTGTTCTTGTTGAATAAAACAGTAATGGTGAGACAAGACAGACGGATACCCATTACCAAGTGAAGGCAATACAATCACCGACTCTTTGTTCTTGTTGAATAAAACAGTAATGGTGAGACAAGACAGACGGATACCCATTACCAAGTGAATGCAATAGAATCACTGACTCTTTGTTCTTGTTGAATAAAACAGTAATGGTGAGACAAGACAGACGGATACCCATTACCAAGTGAAGGCAATAGTATCACTGACTCTTTGTTCTTGTTGAATAAAACAGTAATGGTGAGACAAAACAGGCAGATACCAAGTGAAGGCAATAGAATCACTGACTCTTTGTTCTTGTTGAATAAAACAGTAATGGTGAGACAAGACAGACGGATACCCATTACCAAGAGAAGGCAATAGAATCACTGACTCTTTGTTCTTGTTGAATAAAACAGTAATGGTGAGACAAAACAGACAGATACCAAGTGAAGGCAATAGAATCACTGACTCTTTGTTCTTGTTGAATAAAACAGTAATGGTGAGACAAGACAGACGGATACCCATTACCAAGAGAAGGCAATAGAATCACTGACTCTTTGTTCTTGTTGAATAAAACAGTAATGGTGAGACAAGACAGATGGATACCCATTACCAAGTGAAGGCAATAGTATCACTGACTCTTTGTTTTTGTAGAATAAAACAGTAATGGTGAGACAAGACAGACAGATACCAAGTGAAGGCAATAGAATCACTGACTCTTTGTTCTTGTTGAATAAAACAGTAATGGTGAGACAAGACAGACAGATACCCATTACCAAGTGAAGGTAATAGTATCACTGACTCTTTGTTCTTGTTGAATAAAACAGTAATGGTGAGACAAGACAGACAGATACCAAGTGAATGCAAAATATTACTGACTCTTTGGCCTTGTCAGATTAAACATTAATGGACAGACAAGACAGAAAGATATATAAAGTGATGGCTGCACTGAACTCTTTGGACTTATAGAATAAATTGCTTCGAAGAGGGCAGCTGGATATGACTGCAGAGGTCCAACCCTGAACAGTTTGGGCAAAAATGGACACAATATTCGCGCTTGATACAGGTCTGAATTTGGATTGTAATTAAATATTTGTCACATAATCCCATTTTTTTGCCAAAAAAAAATTTAAAAAATTTTGAAGAAATTTTCTTTTTAATTTCTGAAATCTGAAATGAGAAAAAATTGTCCCCCCCCCCCCCCCCCTTTTGAAAAAAAAATCTTTCCCTCAAGATATGGTCATAATCTCAATTCAAATTTCCAATGGAGTTTGCAACCATAATTACCCATTTAAATACATCATAAAAGTCTTAAAATAGAAAATCACATACATAATCATGGCTAAAATTAATATTCCTTAATCATCATTTTTAATAGTAACTTCTAAAAATAAATTGACAGCTAATCACCTCAAGACAATACAACATTTCTTTATATATAATTTAAAAGCAGAGTAAGGGAGGTAATCCAAACATAAGATTGTAATTTTAAATAATCGTCCATTCACCAGGAAACCCTTGTTTTTCCCCCTTTTTTGCCCATTATTTCAAAACGGTTTGAGTCATAACCCCCCAAAGCCGATCCTGACCATTCCTTTGTGGTATGGAAACTTGTGGTCTAATTTCAGAGAGATCCATACACCTTTCCGCAAGTTATTGTCTGGTAACTAGAAAATGCTTATTTGGGTCCCTTTTTGGCCCCTTATTCCTAAACTGTAAGGACAATAACCCCCAAAATCAATCCCAACCTTCCTTTTGTGGTTATAAACCTTGTGTTTAAATTTCTTAGATTTTTATTTACATGTACTAAAGTTATTGTCCGGAAAGCAAATGTCTTCTGACGACGCAGACGATGTGATACCAATATATGACCGCAAAATTTTTTGCGGTCATATAAAAATATGAACAAATACTTTGAAATAATAATTTAATGGAAAAAGTCGTGAAAAATATAACAAACTAAACACTGAAAAAATAAACAAATAAGACCACAATAAATACATATATAATAGATATATATATTAAATATAATGCTGTATATGGCAAACTTTAAATAAACAATTCTATAACCATGTTTTAAAACTCATCAATCTGCAATTAAAGGCAGTTTGAAACTTACTTTAGGGCCTTAAGATTCTTTTTGAATTCTTGAAAGATTTATATGAATTATAACATCGTAAAGAAAACGTGATTCTTAAATTTTCAAACAAAAATACATATTTCTTATCTAGTCATTTTTAAGCTGTGATACATTGTGATAATGACCATTTATCCTAATTTGAAAATTCAGCTAGAAAAAAAGGTGACATATTGGGGCTTTATGTAACATACATCAAATTCAATGAAAATATGCAATCATACCACATCTTCTTTGATTCTATATTGTATAAAACATGAACATTATAATAGATAGACAAAATATGACAGGGCCATCAGACATAGTTTTTAAACTAGTTAACAGTAGGATGATTGTGGTTAAGTTTGGTTCCAACTGACCCAATATTTTTATAGAGAAGATTTTAAGCTTACAGATAATGATAGACCACAACTACGAACACAATTCCTTATAAATATCTGTTATCTCCTTGTTTTAGGTTTGGAATGTAATCATAACTTAATTTTTATCTGATCACATACGAGTATCAATGTTTTGAACAAAGTAAAACTGCCAGATGAAAAAAGTTAAAATGACATACTGTTAAAGGGGCATTAGATGTCAAATTCAGGTTCACAGATTTGACTCAAATTCTCATACTTGATTTATAACATACTAAAACGTATATCCAAATTACAAAAAGTCTAAAGTAAACAATTAACAATGCATGTACTCTATAATATGTATCAGCATTTCGTGTGTATTTTAGTCTAGATGCCATCTCATTAACCATCCAGATGACCTTCAAGGACGGCAGACGGTCATATAACCCGAAATAAACATAAACATAAAAAGATAGTGAGCACTTGCAATTGGATTTTCTAGATCTGTTTGATTTTATGTTATAGGTTAAAAAATATATTAATCATCTTTTTTACTGGTATAAGAATGATTTTTAGTGGATTGAATAAGTCAACAAAATGGTTCACCCTTGTTTCTCTTTCAATGTTTACATTCTTTTCCTTTAAATAGTTGAGCACACCTAGTACATGAATAATCCATCTCCATCTAAGAGGTTAAATTAAAGGTCACATGAATACAGATTCAATTGAGGTTGAATTATTGACTTGCAAGTCAATAATACATCAGAGATATTTTTTAAGCTTATTTTGACAAATTTGGACTAAACTGACTGTTTATAACAAAATATCATTTCAAAATTCCACTGTTATTAATACTTGAATCAAAAAGAATCATATTTTAATTTTTTGTCTTAATCATAGCTGATGCCCCTTTAATGCTTGATTTACTGACTTGCAATGACCTCTTCATGTTTGTTCTTTATTATTGTTGGGTTATTTATGTTTATATAACATATCCTTTTATTTGTAATTATAATTAGATAATAGTCGAACATTTCTTTTTTTAATATTTAATAATAGACCATAAAAGAGACTTGTACTTGTTAATAGTTTAAAATAAATATAAAATTGCATGCTTAAATTTCCCGCCAGTAGACAAAGAAAAAAGGTTGAATTCACTAATTTGAAATGATTGTTGACATAATGGTGGCTTCTGTTCTTCAGTCAGTTTTACCACTAATTTTCTTCCAAGTTTTTGTGCAAGTTTCAGGATTAGTGGGATAACACTATATGGTCATTGGAATTTGGATGGATAATTAAATAAATAGGAGAAAAAACTCCAGGAAAAAAAATTCACAGGAAAAATCAAGGTGATATGTTTCATGCTGATTTCAATCCAAAATGTTTTTGTCAAATATAAATCAAATACCCACATTATAATTTCCCTATTTAAAAAAATCTGTTATCATATATTATGATATAAAAAATCTGTTATCATATAACAGCTCTAAGCCAAAGAAATCAATTTATATGGCTTTCAAATATTGTATTAAAAAAACAAAACAACTAAAAACACCTACAGAAAAGTAAGTAATTTAAAATTGCTGATAAAAATGTTCTTGGTCACTGATCTATTTACTCTAAACAATACAAAGTATAGTATTCTTCTGTTTATAAACTTCAGTGACACTTCCTAAAATGTTCCTAAAACTGTCTAATGTGTGCATGTCAATTGTTTATTTCTACATCAATATTCACAAATTCTTCAAAGAGTATAAGATCACGTTTGTAAATAATGAACCAATAAATTCTGAAGAGGATATCTTTGAAAAAGCATCTAGGTATACAGACAAAACCAGGGAATGGAATACTTACTGAGGAAATTAACTTACTTGTTAAAGGACAGGATTTGATAAGACCCATATTTGGCTAATTTTTCACTGATATCTGATATTTGAATTTAGGATTTACAGCTCCATTTCAAAGTTGAAGTTATACAAAACAAAATAAACTGTTGACACAGAATTGTGTCTCACCAATAAGTAATTTTGATGGTAAAATGCAAACATTGAAATAAAAATGACAATACTTTAAAATGTTAACTATACAAAATATTCTCCAAGTCAATAAATCATTTGCAGGGCCAAACAATCTCCCTGGAAATGTGAAATGCCAATACTTATACAATTGCATACCAAATAACTTTGACTAATCATACTGTGAGTTAATTTATTTTTTTGGCAACTAATTTTCGTGGATTGGAGAAAACTGTATTTTCATGGATATTTGATTTAGTGGTTTTTGCTAAGTCAATCAAGGTTTTTATACAGACAGTCTGTATACAAACCTTTATCAAATATGTACTTTGTTGATCATTTATTTAAATTTGTGGTTTACCTATATTCATGAAATAAGAAAATTTGTATCTCACAAACAATGATGAATCCATGTACTAAGTGGTACCTTAACAAAAACTTTAAAACATTAACAATGCAAGAATTTCAAAGTCAATTAACCATGACTGAAAGGGATGGGCCATATATAACCTGAAGGTAGGTGGTTCTCTCAGGGCACTCCGGCTTCCTCCACCAATAAAAACTGACCGCCACGAAATAGCACAATAGAGTTGAAAGTGGCGTTAAACACCAATCAATCAATATATATAACCTGCATGGAAAAGAGACATACAATGCTAATACAACTGCAAAACAAATATCATTGACTTACCATCAGTGGTTTATCTTAAACTGACCTAATCACAAGTTTAACATGTAAAATTTGGCAAAAGATTCAAAGTCAGCAGCCAACCTCAAAAACAACACACCTAAGTCTCACCTAAATGACTTTGTCAAGGCAAAACAAAAAGTAGTTTATGATTCATGACCTCACAATTAATGTAGCTCTTATACATGAAAATGTCACTTCTATGCATTTTTATGATCAAATCTAAAATTTTTAAGTAGCTTATGACCAGTAAATATAGAGCAAACGCAAATACCACCTAAATAATTTATCCCTATGCTTGTTGGTATGAACTATACCTCTATTATAATCATGTTTGTGGAACTTGCATGTGCTCAATATTTTCCACACACAAATATGTGTCAAAATATGCAATTTTTGTCATATTTGAAGAAAAATTTAATTAGGCTGTGTTTTGATTGTAAAATCTTATTGAATAGTCTTAATATTGTTAAAGATCTTACAACTTAAACTTTGCACATATATATTAATTATCTTCAGGCATAAATCAGCCAATTTTAGGCAGAAAAGGGCCTTTAGAACACCTCCTCCTTGACAAACAGGAGCTTAAAAAATACCCCTTAACATCATTTTAGTTACTGAAGTTTGACTACATTTAAAACAAAGAAACCCATGAAAATATCTGCAAAACCTGGGACTTATCTACATGACATTGGCTGAATACAAATGGCTTCGGGAACAGTTGAAGCCAGATTTTCCAATTGGCATCTGTACTTTTCTCTTTTTCTATTTGTCTCCAGTTCAATCCTCTCTAACTGCCTTTCCATGAGTGCTAACTCCTGTTCAATATCAACTGCTGGTAGAGATTGTTCCTGTGGTGTCACATGACTTGATATATGGCTAGATAAATTTAATAGTTTTTTACTGTTGTTCTTTGTTAACAAAAAGCGAGTTTCTTTTTGATTGCGTAAAATATCTTCTGTACTGTCAAGAGCAAGATTTGCTCTCTGAAGTGAAATCTCTGTATTGATGGAGGATAACAAGTTGTCTAGTTCTCTTTCTGATACTGATGAACGCTGAAAAAATACACATTTGTCACTTAGTTAGTGGTAATAGCTTTGTTTTATTTGTGAAAACTTGTTATGTATCAAGTAAATGAGAAAGATACTAGGCTAATATGAAAAATGCAGGCTACTGGAAGGAAAAAAAAGATAACATTCTTTCATATGACAAAAATAAATTGCTTCACCGATCGCAGCTGGATATGACCGCAGAGGTCCAACCCTGAACAGTTGGGGCAAAAATGGACATAATATTCACGCTTGATACAGGTCTGTATTTGGATTGTAATTAAATATTTGACACATAATAGGTTTCTGACACAGAATAACTGTAGACAAAGAACTTAGAATTGGTTATATGATTTGCATTTATATTTTGCTTTTGAGCAATACACTATGCTGTTGCAAATTGATCCCCCCCCCCAAAAAAAAAATATTCTACCCCCCATTTTTTTTGCTTTTGTGCTATACACTATGCTGTTGCGTATTGATCCCCCCCTTTTTTTTGCTTTGTGCACTACACTATGCTGTTGTGAATTGACACCCCCCTTTTTTTGCAAAAAAGAAAAAAAATAATTTATATTTGAAGAATTTTATTTTTTACCCTCAAGATATGGTCATAATCTCAATTCAAATTTCCAATGGAGTTTGCAACCATAATTACCCATTTAAATACATCATAAAAGTCTTAAAATAGAAAATGACATACATAATCATGGCTAAAATTAATATTCCTTAATCAGCATTTTTAATAGTAACTTCTAAAAATAAATTGACAGCTAATCACCTCAAGACAATACAACATTTCTTTATACATAATTTAAAAGCAGTGTAAGGGAGGTAATCCAAACATAACATTGTACTAACCAGGAAACCCTTGTTTTTTTCCCCTTTTTTGCCCCTTATTCCTAAACAGTTTGAGCCATAACCCCCAAAGCCAATCCTAACCACCCCTTTGTGGTATGGAAACTTGTGGTCTAATTTCAGAGAGATCCATACACCTTTCCACAAGTTATTGTCTGGAAACTAGAAAAATGCTTATTTGGGCCCCTTTTTGGCCCCTAATTCCTAAACTGTTAGGACCATAACCCCCAAAATCAATCCCAACCTTCCTTTTATAAACCTTGTGTTTAAATTTCACAGATTTCTATTTTCATATACTAAAGTTATTGTGCGGAAACCAAATGTCTTCTGACGACACTGACGACGTGATACCAATATACGACCGCAAAATTTTTATGGTCGTATAAAAAAGAGCAGTAAATTTTTCCATCATAGATATTCATTGCATGATAATCTCCATTTAATATAAACTACAGTGATACTGTTGTACACCAACTCCCATCATCTTAAATCCTCATCAACTTAACTCTTGTAGATGGTGATTCTTGTCATAGTGTGAGTATTTTATGCAATTCAACCTGTGAATATCATATACCTGCCTAGTACAAACAAAATGTTCTGTCAGAAAGGCATGTAATAAAGACATTTTTTTTAAATGAAAAATAACTCACAGATCAACCAAAGTTTTATATTATCATACATCTTACAATTTCGTGGACATCGTTTAAAGTTAATGGTATATTAAAAAACAATAAAGTAACCTTTACATTCACATTTAAATTTCTTTATCTGTATACAGGATTATCAAATTTGAATGCATATTTGTCAAATTTGATAACCTCTATACAGATTAAGAAATATCCAGAGGCTCACAAAAATGTGGATGCAAACTGCAAAGGTTACTTTACTATTTCCTCTCCAGTTTTTAAAAACAAACTTATAATGATATGATAATTAAGACAAAGATGATACCTACAAAGAAGACTTGAATGTAGAGCAGCAAACATTAGATATAGTAAACAGTAATGTTGAAGTACAACTTGACATGATGGTTTTTGAAGATACATTTGATGCTCTCATGATGGTTATGGTTAGGAAAAATTGTTTCTTGTAAACTTCATAACTCAAGTTCTGCATAATTAGCAGGTTAAAAATATCAATGGTAATAAACAAATGTATTTTTATAATCCTCTTTACAAATTAGGAAATATTCACACACATGTTTATTTAAAGGTTAACATAATTATGTGCACTTGAGGGAGCCTCCATTGTTTAAGACAAACTTATCTAATATGATATACAATAAAAAGAGGATGTTCCCATAGTAGACTTAGATATAATGTATCTCAATCTGTATACAGGATATTTATTTATCTGCAAAGGGGATTATCATAATCATATTTGTCTTGTATTAACATTTGATGATATACTATTAACTTTCTTATCACATCTCATATTTTATATATGTATATGGTAACTTCCATATCCAGTTAACAACCATCCTTACAGAAAATGGGTTTAATAAATCAATGAATCAAAATTCAATTTATCACATAAAGATTTAACATGCATTCATTTAACTTCATTTTGTAATGGCAGACGTGAACTACAGCGACTCTTTTCACAAAAAATCTTACGATTAAAATTGATCGCAAGTTATACTGAAATGTGTATGACTTGCGAGTATTTTTACTCTTAAGATTTTTTGTGAAAAGAGCCGCTGGACTTTTTGTCAAAGAGGCATAAGTTCTGTAAGTTCAACATCATGGTATGTATGGAGAATTTGAAGAAAACCAATAATCATACTATTAATATGTACTCTGTTAATATATTTACAAACACTCTGCAAAGTATTCAGAAAACTTTAAGAGGATGAAATTTGCTATGCTGTAGCAAACTGTCCCCCTCTACTGTGTAAACGAGAAATAAAATTGTGTTTTCAGTATAGAGTTGTACAATCAGAACATAGATTTCATTATAAAGTAGATTTCAAGCTTTTGTACTTGTTGCTTTTATTCAATTGGCCAAACATGGTGTTATTGTGGTATGATAGTCCAAAAAATGGTAAAGAATTTTATAACTCCCAAAAATGGTTGAATCAAAATGACTGTACAATATTGTCAACTACTCATGATGACAAACAATCCTACTAAGTATGAGATTTCCCTTTCAAAGGGTCTCAGAGTTTGCATTCAAAAAGAACATTGTGGTAAGATGGACCGAAAAAAAAGGATCATAGTTCCATAATTCCCATCAAAATGGTTGAGTCAAAATCAGTTTAATATTGTAAACTATATATGAAACTATTCTACTAAGCATGAGAGTTTTCTATCAAACAGTCTCAAAGAAGTTACATTCACAGGGGTCGTTATGACTGAAAGACTCACGGACATGCTAGTTACTATAGGCCTTCTGGTGATTGATTGGTGGGGCCCTAATAATATGAACATGTAACAATAAACCTATTATTTTCGAAGTCTATTTATTCTATTAGCAGGTATAGATTGGAACAGGTATATTCTCTATTCCAATAACAATTTTTTCTCGACATTATGAAGTTTTCTAATAAATCCATTTTTTGAAAATTTAATAAAATTTGCATCATTTACAGTTTATATACATCTATGTGGTTTGCAGAAGCTATCCAGAAGAATTTGTAAACATTGAAACAACTTAAATACTGACACCAGTCTTGATAAAAGAGAAATATGACTTGTACCTTTACATGTTTTATTATACATGCACTTTCAGTATCCCAGATTTGTTTAATCTTTCCACTGATTCTTATATCTGCCAAGTATGACTCTCAGTAAAAGAGACAATATTGAAATATTTATGCACTGCACTTCTATAAAATTATTTTCTATTTAAACACCAATAACATAACTCTACCTGTGATTCCCATATTTCCTCAATCTCCTCAATTATTTGTTCATACTTCATAATGGCATCCTCTAGCTGTTGTTTAGCTGACTCCATCTTGACGACAGCATCTGGCGGTATGTTGTAAAATGTCATCCTTCCAGGACTCATGTCCTCTACTTTATCTTTCAGTTTGTGATCTAGTACGCTTTCCTTAAATATAAAAAAAACATTTCAAATGTTCTTTTCTTATTGTTTCTGAAAATTCATGTTTTAGAAATTTGTTCTTTCAGAATATAAATCCTTCTTGAATTTTAATCTTTTGTAACTTTAAAGTTAAATATCCTTGTCAAACACCATATACAGATTTTGGCACTTGAAATTTCTTAAATATTCCTTTATTTTTCATATCGAAATTGTATGTAAAACATGGTTCCATTTAACAGTGCTCATAAAAAGAGATGCTCCAAGCAGCATGAATCACTCAACTAAATTACTTTGGTTGAAAAAAATAATGTCATCAATTCTGTATAATTTCAAAATATTTTGCATTATAGTTTCAGAAAATAGATTTTTTTATACTGGCCAACCAGCATCAATAATGGCCTTGTCTGTTTTTCGTCCAATCAGACATAAATGATTCAATGTTAATTCTATTTTATTCTATTCAGAGTAAAAGATAAAAATATGTTTTTTCCACAAAGTTTAAATGGGAACTATGCCACTAAATGAACTTCAAATAAAGGTTTGTAAAGGCTCATCCAAACATCAATCCTTTAAAATATCAAAACATTTCACCTTCTTTTTTCTTTGTGTCTAACATTTGTAGAGGACCTTGAATTCATCAATCCTTTAAAGTTTCAAAAACATTTTGCCTTATAATTTAAAAGACATTTGAAAATTGGCCAATCAAATCAAAGTTTGCCTCAGGTAGCCACGTTTTTTATCCAATCTGAACTAAATGATGTAGATGAACTTCTATACATCATTCTTGTCAAGTTTGTTTAAAATTGGCCATTTGGTTTCAGAAACATGAAAATCTGAAAGTTTAAGATAGACAGATGAGGACATAGACCAAGTGATGGCACTGGATTTTAACAGCCATCAATCTTCATCACAAAATGATAGCTCTATTGGAATAGTAACATTAATTGCAATTTAATTAACTGCCTTTGTGGTCTCCTGGTAGCAAGTTCGTCTGGAGTGTGGGAGGTCAAGAGTTCAAACCAAAGACTTTAAAATTGGTATTTGCTGCTTCTATGCTAAGCAGGCAGCATTAAGGTGTAAGAGCAAAGACTGGTCAGCTCGGAGTCAGAATAATGTGCCCCGGTAGGGTAATATGTCTTCCTGCAGACTGTTACCTTGTAAAATAGCACTTTATATACCTTCTTTTCCAACAAATATCAGTAGGATATCCAATGTATTTTACTCATACCAAACTTTAGTTTGAGCAGTATTTCAGTTTTAGTCTGGATCACGTTTTAGATAAGTTTTTGTGCACTCATTCATATCTAATAATTAATAAACATGATAATTTTCTAGTTCTATTTAGTTTACCATCCATTTCCAAAAGACTTCCTCCTGATCTTTCCATGACAACATGTTTTGTAGTCTTTCATTGTCTTTTTCCAACAACTTTAATATCTAAAAAATACATCAGTGTAAGACAATGCAAGAGAGAGAGTATATGATCCACTTATACATCTCAAAAGTTGTGTCTATCTAATTTCTTTTTTCTAACACTCAGATTGTTTACAAAATTTGTATGTGTCATTGTTTTGAATATGTACTACAGTCTTCAAAATGTAAAAATTTAATAACATCACAACATAAAATATTATAAGGTTTGGCATCATGAAAAACTTGGTCAGCCAATAATATTATTTCATACTTTTTTATCATGAGTCTTGTTAAGCAATAACAATATTTGAAAATTGAGAATTGTGAATTATCATATTATACAAGATACAGATGAAGAATACGCTTTTCTAATGGTTTTTAAAAAACAATATGAAGACAAACTTAGACATTCTTCCTGCGTGAACTGAACAATAAGCAGCTGTGCCAAATTATTAATCTCAACAACAGAGTAAAGTTGTTAGGAAAATCAACCCAAGCTTACTAGAATAACTAATGATATGGGAAAAATTTTCAATTTTTAATGAATTAAGTCCCATAACTTTGAATGACAAAGGTGAAAATCATGAAAATTGAAAGGGAACTTTCTATGATTAATTCTAGCTACATCATAAAATTTCAGGAAAAAGTATCACAGCAAAGTTAAGTTATTTTACAATATTTGAGAAAATTTCAAATTCATGAATAAAGACCTAAAAATCTGGAATGACAAAAACTGAAATTCATCCAAATTGAAAGGGATCTTTCTTCTGACAATACCTTAAAAGTGTTGAAAAATTTCATGAGAATTGTGAAATGCAAATTTGAGTTATCATAACAAGTGCATCTTCGCTAGCCAAGGGTTAAGATCCACTTCCCTCCTCTCCACCCTTGGCAGATTAAGCCAACATTTGTGATAACAATGTTGCGCCATCTATCGGTAGATTACAGTCACGCACATTCCTAATACATTATTCTTGATCAATGGTAGCACTTGAACTCTTCAATTTGGAGGTAAAAACACGGTAGCGTCTAGATTCTACACACTTGGTAAAGCAGGAAACGAAAATATACGTTGACATTAATGCATTTGTGCAAGAAACATACACAGGAACTTCTATTAGTTGATTAAAAACATTCAAATTGTCACTAAATATAGTCATATGTTTAGGGATGTAAAGACTTGTTGCACAATAAGCACGTGGCAATTGTTTACATACACTTTCTACATTTACACGGGATCATGTTATAGGCGATTTTTGATTGGATGCAGTGAGTTTCGACTGCAACCAATAAAAATCATTACCTTGTGTCTCCGAAATTCTATCTCAATCCACCAAGGGCGGAGAGGAGGGAAGTGGATCGCTACCCTTGGCTAGCGAAGATGTAACAAGTGTTGATATAGGGAAAGGCGTATGGACAGATGATGTTATTCTATAATAGGTCAAGTCTTTGACTGGTGTATAAAAATTTTGTTCTTTCTGTGTGACGTGATCAGGCATGGTCTTCTTCTCATTACATCACAATGGATTATTCAGGGTAAAGTAAAACAAACGAATCATTTTGCAAAGAATTCCACTCTAACCTGAGTGCTAGGGGTCATCTTAAAACTTGCAATGCTATGCATGTACTGATTTTGTGCAATGAATGGATACCCCATATCCTTTGTTTTTTTTTCTATTAACGTCATATTAGTTGATTAATTAATTTAATATCTACTACTTACCAGCTGTTAGTTATTGAACCAAATTTTGAATACAAAAAAAGTGAAAATCAAGTTAGAATGCAATGATTGCTAGACCAACCTTTTTCATTAACTCTGGGTGTTTTAACAGATGGACCTCCATAACAGACAAATGGTTCCTCTCTGGGTTCAGTGATACACCATATGTACTATCATGTACCTAGTAGATAAATAAAATAACTTTATAAATATATTATAAAATGTTCAAAATTAAGATTTAGATACAATGTACTATGAAACTGCAGGTTCAGAGGTATTAGTAATGAGTAGTGTTGCCTGACTGGTACCACAATGGGAGATTCTTATTATGAAAATAAGTTGTCAACTAGTCAGATGTTAGACAAACAGAGTGATATGTAGCTACTAAATGTAGGATCTACAACATATACATTGGGGAAAAAAAAGTTTTAATGGTTATGAAACATTCATTTCTGTCCCTTTTTGGGATATGTATTTTATATTCCTCATGGACTATACATCAATGGACAGCACCCAAATGACAGAAAATAAAAATGCCAAAAGACATTGATAGAACTTAACTTTTATTGAAATTTCAATTTCAAGTTATTTGCAGTCAATCTACTACTATTTTAATTTTGAGTTATTTAAAAAAATTATCAAATGTTTAAACCAAAGTTGCTCAGCAGGAGCTCATGTTAATCTTAGCTCATTTGATTTCAAATGTATCACCTGAGCTATACTGATTGCATTGGCTAACTATGTTGTAAATATCTATTTATCAAATTCAAAACTGCATGAACCACAAAATACTGTTCTTAAAACCAATAAATGTAAACTTGCTATTGTGAGGTTGTGCAGTAAGTCAGGAGCCAAGCAATATGAAAATGGCAACATTTATAAGTATTGAAGTGATAAAACAAATCCTATCTTAAACAAACCCTGTTTTGAAGCTTTGTCTTTTCCCTCTGTAAAGCCTGCAGCTGCCTAATATTAGATCTAAGTTTACCATTTAAAAGTCTTAAATGTTGAACTTTCTGTCCAGGGGAAAGAACTCTTTGTGTCTGCATTTGCTTTGATGGTTTGGTCATATCTTCAAATTCAAACTGGAAAACAAATGATATTGGTACAGTGGACAGTGAAAATATACAAACAAACACTTATGATGTCAATCAAAAAATAGATTTCAGCATTCTATAGGGGACATAATCAACATTACCTATAAACTAATACCTTTTTAATTCATTCAAAGTATACAAAATCAAAGTAGGGAAGTACTGAACATCGGATGACCGCAAGTTCTTGTGGATGGTCAAAAGCACTTGTCTCAGAAAAAAAAATCACATCTCTATACCCAAAAGTGAGGTTAAGGTACATAGATATATTTTTTTCTGAGACAAGTTTGTGTGTGGATGATGAATAAATGACACAGAATTCAACCTCACCGTAATAACTATTATATTGTAGTGATACAAATCAGTATACTCTGGTTTGTTGTTATATATTACATTAATATTTGTATATAACAGTTACATGTATATATAATTTTCATCCATTTGTATATCATTCTATTCTACTATTCTAATAATAGTGCAGTGCAAGTGCATGGTGGACACTCTTCTGTAATAATTTGATTTTTTCTAATAGATTGGATTGGAGAAGGTATTCATATTTTCCTGCAAAACGTTCTTGAGATATTCTTCCACATGCATTAACACAAATTTTTCATTATTCTTGATTTGTTATTGATACATGTATATATATTTCTCACAACAAAACATTTTCATATCATTAATCTATGTTCTTAAAAATTATTTTCACAAATATTTATTGATGAAATTGATATATAACAAGTGATAAGGAATGTTATTTTGCGTTCGGTTATCAGTAAAAAATGAAAGTCACGTGGGTAGAAATGTCTGTGGCAGCAATACACTGGAATGCCCTCACGGTCATCCGATGTAAAAATTGATATGATTTATTATAATGTATTTTTAATAATAAAAAGGTACATTTGTATTGATATTGCTGTTTTATTAATTCTAACCTCATACATGAAAGATGGATCTTCTTCATCTAGTGGGGATGAGCAGGATTCCATAAATTTATCAATCAGACCTTCTTTACAAAGCAACCAAGCAAACCCTAATAATATTTCTCTACTACCACTACTCATGTCATTAGGCAGAGAAGCAAACTCTCGTGACAGGAAACCTTTTCTCTGCATCTCTTGTTTCACATAGACCACCAACTCTTCTACAATGAAATAAAAACCAATCTTGACATATCATTACAATTATTTGAGCAATTCCATAACCAAAACCAAAATGCAATGAGTACTGGTAATCCTATTTTTATTATTCACCCTGAAATTTGAACTATCAATACATTGTGAGTTGATGAATAATTTATTTTAACAGTCATTTTCTCTAAAAAATTACTCACCTCAACCTTGAATCAAGTACTGTAAATGTAAGGATACTCCATGTGCAAAGTGATGACAGTACACAGCATGTGGTAAAGCCTTACATTGAAGCCTATATAGTGATAGTATCATAGTGAGTGTTGACATACACATACTATTGTATGTTGACTCTTTATGCCAATAAAAGTAACTCCCTAGATACTTCCTATTTTGGGCATGCACAATAAAGTTTAAATTTCTTACTTTTGAACCTTAAAGCTTGAAAGTAAGACTAACCATAAGAAAAAAAAAAAAATTTGGTGACTAACTGATGAAACCTCTTATTAAAAGGAACAATTGTCAAAAATAACTTTAAATATAAAAACATACCTATGGATAGTTCTGCTTTTGCTTTAAATGCCACTTCATCAATTGTACCATATTTACAAAAATACAGCAACTCAAACAACAAACTCCAAAATGTTTCAGTCTGAAAATAGAAAGATTTAACTTAATAATTTATTTGTATCAATACATTTTGTAGTATGGTTCGGAATAACCTAAAACACATCAATACACATTATAAGTGTAAGAAAAGTAATATTGTTTGAATTGTTTCATCATGTTAGAACTGATAAAAGTTCAACCGTGTAATATAAAGATACATTTATTTGTCTCATAGTCAGTATTTTACCTTTTCTTTAATGCAATTATACTGTAACAGTGCTGAATATCAGGGAAAATAGTTATGTGTTTTAATATCATATTCATGCATGTCATCTTCATGTTCTTTATTTACATAACAAAGCATGTCATTTTAATGTTCTTTATATATATAACAATGAATGTCATTTTCACGTTCTTCATCTATATTACAATGTATATCATTTTCTGTTCTTTATTTATATAACAATGCAGGTCATTTTCATGTATGCATGTTCTTTGTATATATAATAAAATTGAGAATGGAAATGGGGAATGTGTCAAAGAGACAACAACCCGACCATAGAGCAGACAACAGCCGAAGGCCACCAATGGGTCTTCAATGCAGCGAGAAACTCCCGCACCCGGAGGCGTCCTTCAGCTGGCCCTTAAACAAATATGTATACTAGTTCAGTGATAATGGACGTCATACTAAACTCCAAAATATACACAAGAAACTTAAATTAAAAATGATAAAAGACTAACAAAGGCCAGAGGCTCCTGACTTTGGACAGGCGCAAAAATGCGGCAGGTTAAACATGTTTTTTGAGATCTCAACCCTCCCCCTATACCAATGCATGTTATTTTCATTTTCTTTATCTATATTACAATGCATGTCAATTTTATGATCTTTATATACATTTATACATTGTAAGTCATTTTCAAGGGTTTTATATCTATGTAACAATGAATGTTTTAGGGGCCTCGGTGGCTGAGTGGTCTAAGTAGTTACATGTACTACTGTAATCACTAGCCAGTCAACACTGAGGTTGTGAGTTCGAACCCCGCTCGTGCGGGTGCACTCGACTCCAATCTTAATTGACTAGGATTGTCAGTTTTCCTATCGAAGGTCGGTGGTTTTCTCCGGGCACTCCGGCTTCCTCCACCAATAAAAACTGGCCGCCACGAAATAGCCCAAAAGCGGTGCTTAAAAGTGGCGTTAAAACACCAAAAATCAATCAAAATCAATGAATGTTTTGACATGACTTAAACGTGGACCATGATGAGGACCCCCAATTGAACTGTGATGTGCGTGAACAACAAAAGCAGGATACATGTACCAGGAGACTTGAATGTATACTATACATACATCAATCACTTCTTGGTTACCTGTATTTGTATAGTAGAAAGGTCAATTGCAGGATAACATTTATATAACAATGCATGTCATGTTCACGTTCTGTATTTATATTATAATGCATGTCATATTTATGTTCTGTATTTATATAACAATGCATGTCATGTTCATGTTCTTTATTTATATAACAATGCATGACATTTTCATGTTCTTTATTTATATAACAACTAGAACACAGCCGCGAAATCGCGGGCATTTAGAGCTTGGTTGAAAGTATGTAAACTGTTGTAGGATGAATTTTTGTAAAAGATTACATGCAGAGGCGGATTTAGAGGGTTTTTCAGGGGGCTCGGAAATACATCTAACAAAAACATGGATGTGGTAGGGTACTTATACATCCCCACAACAAAAAGACACTAAGTACAGATCTGAGAGTACACACAGTTACTGACAGCTATTTCAAAGCCAATAACAACTAATAAAAAAAATCATGCATCTAAGACTAAAATATCAATCAGTACACATCAAACATCCATCGGATTTAGTGTAAAGACGTCATCATGGTCATTAACAGTCAAAGAAAAACATGACCTTGTGCAATGCTGTGATACAGGTATCGACAGATTGTAGAGCCATGAATGTGCATATGTTCATATATACAAATGAATTGCATATCAGGGAATACATTTCTATGATTGGTTGAGAGGGCTTCTGGTAGTGGCTCTTGCAGTTATTTATTTTTCAATAGACAACGTTGACGGAACTTTTTTTTTGTAACCAATGTAAACAAGATGGCCGCATAATAACACAAACCGGCTCGACTTCAAAAATATTTATTTTCACCTCGCGTTCATCGTTAAATTAAATTAGAGGCTCTCAAGAGCCTGTGTCGCTCACCTGTATCTACTGTGATTTTGGAAATCATGTAAAATATGGTTAAAAATAATAACAAATAGTTTTAGATACACTAATAATGATTGAGGCCAAGTTTGGTTTAATTCGGCCCAGTAGTTGAATTTAAAGCAGGTCATCCCATTGCAGTCTTACAATAGTTACTGAAGAACCCTTATCATTATCTAAATAAGTTTTTAAATTGTGACCATTTGAAATTGTTTTTTTACAATTTTCCCATAGACTTCTATAGTAAACCCCTATGTTCTATTTTTAGTCATGGTGGCCATGTTGGTTGGATGACATGTACAGGGTCATCAGATACAATTTTCAATCAAGATACCCTATTGAAAATTGTGGCTTAGTTTACTTCTATATGGCCCAGTAGATTAAGTGGAGAAGATTTTTGTAAAACATTACAAAAACTTACGAAAAACTGCAAAATTTCCTTAAAATTACCAATTCAGGGGCAGCAACCTAACAACAGGTTGTCTGATGTGTCTGAAATTTTCAGGGCAGATAGAACTTGACCTGATGAACATTTTTACCCATTGTCAGATTTGCTCTAAATGCTTTAGTTTCAGAGGTATAAGCCAAACTGCATTTTACCCCCCCCCCCCCCCCCCCCCCCATGTTCTATTTTTAGCCATGGGGGCCATCTTGGTTGATGGGCGGGGTCATTGGATACATTTTTAAAACTAGATACCCTAAGGATGATTTAGGCCAAGTTTGGTCTAATTTGGTCCAGTAGTTTCAGAGGAGAAGATTTTTGTAAAAGTTAACGGACGACGGACAACAAGTGATGAGAAAAGCTCACTTGGCCCTTTTGGGCCAGGTGAGCTAATAATAAACACAAAACATTCATTTGGATAATCATGATGATAATAAGATATTTATGTAGTTTATTTTTTATCAGATAGCAAGTTTCATGGAGTACATTTTTTTGCATTAAACAAAAAATATTTTCATGCGCCAAGCCAATTCAATGACACAAATATACAATTTACGTGTGATAGAGGTAATGAGTGGGGGGAAATAAATTCCTTATCTCCAATTGTTTTTGAGTGATTTGATTTTAATTAACTGATAACAAAGTCAATATTTATACCAATCAAAACAATATTCAAATATCTAATTATAATGTTAAATTGGTAACCTTTTATATATAATTAGAATATGTTTACTTAAATGATCGATAAGTTTACCCAGATCGTATCTAAATTTCTGGGCTCGGTAAACGACATCTCCGTAAAAAATTAGGATGTGTTATCCCGTTTGAACTAAGTTTTCTACTGGTACAACCAAACTTCCAAACCAAATCTTTATATCTATAGAATTTAGTTAAGGTTTTAAATAATTTGTGGTAATGAAATCCCTGACTTAATAATTTCCAGTAATACATAGATTACGTTTATTGAAATCCAAAACGTCACAACAGACACGGGCATAGCGAACGAGTCGTGATATATATAAACACCATACGATTAAGATGGTGCCAGAGGAAAATTAACAATAGGGAACGCAAATTCGTCCCTTTTGTAATAAATTTTAGAGTAAGAGTTTCCCATGTAAAACTGAAATATCTTAATCTAGGAAAAGACAGTTATTACCATTTATATTTGATTTATTTAAAGTAAGTTCCTTTGGGTAAATTTTGGCAGTATATTTTGAAAATTCTTGATTATTTTATCGAAAAAATATTACCATATCAGATAGCTGTAAGTGTTGTTTAATCTATTAATCAAATCATACCTGCCAACCTTCCTGTTTTGAGCGGGAGTCTCCTGCGCAAACGACAAAATTCCAGAAATCTATCACTTGTAGGTCTGCTCCTGCGCGGGAGTAAAGAATCTCCCGCTTTCAGATATTTTGACATGGAATAACCCGCGTTCGTAATTGTCTGTCTTTTTCATTACTTTCAATAGAAATAAATAAACAATCCGCGATCATTTGAAAACTTTGGTCAGTAGATTTTATGTTCGATTACAAGTAATTGAAATTCAGTTCTGCTATGTCAGAGGTCTTTGTCTGGACCAAGCGGCAGTGTAAAAAAAAGAAATAGATAACCGCAAATCGAAATGTCAAGCAGATTTGAATGAAAGATTTTCAATTTTTACGACCAAGTTCACTTGGCAATGAATCTTTTTGCACATCGTGTTCAATCAATTTCTTCTGGTGGTCTAGACGATGTTTGAAAGCATGCTTAGTGTGAGACTCACAACAAAATCAAAATATGGAATGTTATGAGTTATGAGACTCGGAGGTATTGAAAAAGGCTAAAAAAAAACCACCTTGTATAGATTATAACCATGAATTGAAGAAATAATGTATATTTATTAACTCTTATTGGTGTTTAATTTTGTCAACATGTTTGTAGAAGAATACGTAAACAGGTCATATATTTAACTTGAAAATTTCATTTACGCAAAATCTCCCTCTCAGCTATCATAGCTGAGGGGGGAGATCTCCCTCTTTGAAGGTTTCAGAGGTTGGAAGGTATGATTAAATGCAATTAAGACGGTCTTTACTGAGTTTGGTCATAAACTGTGATTCATAACAGTACAAGAACAAGTCTGCTATAAAAGGGGCACAATTGGTGCATATAAATGGTATCTGGTCCGTTCGCCCTCATTACATGCATGTTCGCCCTGGGTCCGTTCGCCCTGAGTCCGTTCGCCCATAGAGTCTGTTCGCCCTAATTTAAGAACAAATATTAATATCAAAGGTAAGCTAAGGTAATCTATTCCTGAGGTGGAAAAGGCTTTGTATTCTGAAAATTCAAAGTTTTGAAATTTAGAATGCTGATTAGATATGATTACGATGTCTTTGATCTCACTGATTGTTGTAGTTACATGTATTGTTTTCAATGGTTTAATAATGAAATTGTTTTTTTTTAAATAAACAAGTCAGCTTGGAATGAGTTAAAACAATGATGTAAGAATTGTAAGACATTAAAGGGAAATTGTTTTCGCCGCTTGGCGTCTTTGATATCAAGGTGTTGAGTGAGTTGGATCTTGTAAAAACCTGTTTGGATTGTTTTGAAATCGTTACAAGGTTTCAAAAAAGATAAATTTATACAGATAACTTGGTCTCCAGTTTCTGAACACTTTTTTTTCTTCTTCAAAATACTGCCCACATTCAAAATGATGAATATTCTGGCAAGAATATTTAATGCAAATCAAAAGAAAAATAATTATCTGGTAGCAGCAATACAACATAAATATTCAGCGAAATTTTCAACAAACTTTAACATAATTAATATTCAAATAATTTATACTATACAAGACAACAAAATAAAATAGAAATCAGGGCGAACACTGAGCGGAACAGACTCAGTGCGAACAGGAATTATGGCGAACAGACCCAGGGCAAACAGGTACTAGGATGAACGTGAATCAGGGTGAACGGACCCGGATTCCATATGAATACCTACAACCTGTCGATAAATTTTATTGCAGAAACGTACAAAAATATTATCAAAGTCCAAGGAGAAATTTAATAGCTCTAATCATCTCGTGACTCGTAACACCTCCAGTAAGTGTATCTAGCATATTTACCTTTCTCATTCGAGATGTAGGCTTTAAATGAAATACAGCAAATACATTTGCATTCAGATTTACAAAAATGTACCAAACGACCATAAAATTAAATAGGAAAACTATTACAAAAATTTTAAAGTTTGTAACACTTACAGCAGTGTCATTGTTAAATTTAGCAAGTCTAAAGCTTTCAGCTTTTATCTTTGACGTTCCATTTTCTCTCAGAACTTTCACTAAAAGTTCAATTGTTTCCCTGACTTGTGCCATGCATAGATTAGCACAAAAATCTACTGGTAAATGTTTTTGGTCTTTTTTTTTAACCACAAACCGGAAGTTGATTGAATATTTATTTCGACAATGATGTTCCTCGTAAAAGTTTTAATTTGTAGTATTACAAAATTTGCTATTTCAATAATATTCATTTAAATAAAGATGTATTAAATAATTCAAAATATAGTTCATGATTAGGTATTAAATAATAATAAAAAAAACACAATGATGATGAGTATCACGTACAGTAACTGATTTAAAAACAAAAGTGAAAGTAAGAACTGTTATCTTCATAATTTGTGTGTCTATCCACCAAATAGAAATATTTGAGATACGAAAAGGTATTTTGAGACAAAAAAGCCCCTAGAAGAGTCATCTTCCAAACAAGGACCGAAGCTCATAAACGTTTACTAAGAGTGTGAAGAAAAAAATTCTCTACAAAAACTCATGAAAAAAAGTTGATTTTTTTACATTGAAATATTAATTCTTTTAGAATGTTAGAATGCCTGTAAAGTTTTAGACTGCACTTTCAAGTATTCCTGATCCTGAACCTAAGGTCAATATATTGACACAACTAGTCTCTTTGTGTTTGTTTGTTTCATCTTAGTACTATAATTTCTCGGAGTAATGTCACGCTGTACTTAGGTTAATTTGTTTAGGTACAGGATCAGGATTCTTCAGGGCTAAGGGGACAACCATTTGATATTCTGGGGGGGGGGGGGGGGGAGGGGGGCAGGAGGATTTGTTTTGGATGGGTTATTTATTTTTGTGGACCAAAAGGACAGATTATTTATTTTCTGCACTGTTGAAGCATGATTTTTCATTTTCATTAAAACAAGGGACATATTATCTATTTTCACAATTATATTTATGATATTTGAAAACATACAATTTTTAAATTCTTAAATAAATAACATAGTCAATTAAGTCAATCAGAATTAATCATATCATCCTCTGGAAGTTAATCTTCTGAATTGCAAACTGCATATATTGCATACGTACAAGGTATTAAAGCTGGGCTGTAACTAGCCTCTTTTAAAAGTTGTCAAAAATTTTCGCCGAGTGGAACGAGGCGAAAAAAAAATCAGCGAAGAGTCTGGGGTTCGCTGAAGGCCCAAGAAGCTATAGAAAAAATGGCGCAAAATCATGCATTATGCACGTTTCCCAGACCCTTTCTTAATCTGAAACGCAAGTAAATTGAAGTTCTGTTTTAATTTTTTGACAATATTCTGGTTTCAAAGCAAAATATATAGATTCAGTGTAAGACTTTTAGTTTTTAGGGACAACATCAAAAGACCAATATGTAGGAAAAAGCAAAAAATGTTTCAGTTTGCAGAAAAACCTTTTATACCTGTCAATTATGTTTTTTTCAAATTAAGTTAAGAGGGGGCTGATTTTCATTGATATAACTATGTCAAATCAGTTTTTATAACACATTTCAATTACAACTTGATGTAGTTCCTAACTGGGATACAATTTAAAGTAGTTTGTAACAGACAGAAGGTCCTTAAATATAATAAAACTCAAGTTAAAAACATAATTACTAAATTACAAATAGAATGCAACACTAAGAGAACAGTCATAAAGAAGGGCAATCAATGAACAAAAGACAAACCCAGGAACAGATAAAACACAAAACGACAAACATTATAGACAATCAACACTGAAAAATAAAAATAAATGAGAAACATGGATCTCAAAAAACAGGGGCTACGTCAGAGGGTGAGCAGAACTTGCTTCTTGCAAGACACTTGCCGTGAAAACAATTTGATATGAACAATGATGAAGACAAGCTTTTGTTTTGAAATTTCCAACATGAGGCATTTGCCTCAATGTAGTTACGGAAAGTGAGGTAAATGTTCACGAGACAATATACCTCAAGTGAAATGAAACCCATTTTCAAACATTTCAAATACACCAATATTTTTATTATATTAAATGATTTGGGAAGTTTTTCCCGAAAAAAATATGAAAAAAGACGAATTTTGGAAGAATTTGGTGCCATCTCATACTTCAGAATAGCATTTATAAAATGGCTTAAAGACCTGGCAAGTTATTTTCAATACATTGTAAGTCAGGTTATTTATTTTCAAACTACCACAGAACAAATCATTCATTTTTGCTATTATCAAGGCTGAGTTATTTATTTTCAAAATCCTCCTGGCCCCCCCCCCCCCCCCCCCCCCCCCCCCCCAGAATATCAAATGGTCGTCCCCTAAATGTATCTTGAAATCGCCCTGAACTCTTTAAATATTCTATAATATCGTTCTCTCATATGTCTTTTTTGCTGGTGCTAGTAGGGTATGATGATCTATTGGGATGTTTAGTATCTCCAACTGTCTTTTAATTTCTTCTCTTTCCTGATGGTATCTCATACAATTAAGTAGGAGGTATTCTGTGCTTTCTTATTCACCACATTCGCAGTATGGCGTGAGGGGTTGGTCTATCTGATGGCGGTATTTGTTTAATCTATTGTTCTAAATTCTGACATGATTCCTCCTATAACCATGATAACTGGATTTGGATAATCAAGTAGATGGGCCTTACCAACAATAGGAACTAATTCGTGTAGTTGTCTCCCAGTTTCACTTCTAGTCCATCTATTTTGTCGTTTAAGTTTTGTTGACATCCTAACTGCACTCCTCACATCTGACATTGTTATGACGTTGTACTGGTCATTTAGACTTGAGGCCTCCTGTGCTAAATCTTTTGCTTCCTATCTCGTTCCCGGCTATATGAGCATGGCCTGGGATCCAAGATAGGGTAGTTTGTATGCCGCCTCTCAGGAGGGTCCCAATGCTTTCTTTAATGTCTGTGATAGTGTCAATGTAGTTAGTTGACTTCCAGTTGAGAGTCAGGATGCCAACAGCTGTCTGGCTATCTGATAGAATCTTTACATCAGTATACTGTTCTTAAAGTGTGTAAATGCAGTGTTCCAAAACCATAAGGATAGCAACTAGTTCAGCTAAGAGTATGGAGCCTCTGCTAGCTACTGGTCTTTTTAAGCTGGTTCCATGGTGGTTCTCAGTATATATTACTGCTCCTGCTCCATATGGTCCTGGATTTCCCTGACAAGAGCCATCTGTAAATGCTGAATGAAACTCATGAATCTGAGCTTCCTCCTATCAGTTCTTGTACAATTTGTTTGCTTTGGACAGTTTGTTGTACAGTTCTGTTTTTCAAGCTTACTAATAGGCTCCAGTATCTTCAATGGTGCTCTCATCAGCATAAAATCTGCTCCTGCCTTGTAGGTAAACTCTGGCTCTATAAGTTTGATATCTACTTTTGTTGCTTTAAGCATGTCGATGGCTTGATTTATAGCCTTACCAAATGGTGATTCCTGTCGTTCATATGTATCATTGTTGGTAAGATACTCCTTCATCTGTTGTTCAATTGGTTGGCTATGTTTTTTTATTGATTTTTTGCTATTTCTCAGATTGAGATTTCTTCCATTCGAATGTCGATTGGTTGCATATTGGCCTCTACTTCCATTGCTTTTCTACCTGCCGTTCCTGGTAATCCAAGGCAAACTGATAATCCTTTTCTTTGTATAGCTTCCATTTTTTTCATATTTTCCATTGATGTTATCTGCCAAACTGGGCACGCATATTCAATGATAGATCTTACCATTAATGCAGAAACTGAAATTTCTTTTGTAAAATGTCAAAGAAATATTTTTTGATAGCTCAATAGATCTTCTAGTTGTTATTTTCTATGTCATTTGGTCTCTGGCTGGGACATAATGTAATATATTGACATGGTGGAGAGTTGTCTCATTGCCATTTGCAATCATAACACATTTTATTTTTATACTTATATAGCCCAATCAAGTTATATTTATGCTGAAAGTGTAGATATTCTGATCCTGACTCATACGAATTTAAATATTCTTATCTTTTGCAGATAAAAAAAGAACTTGTAGTAAATACAGTCAGGTGTGGAAACCTTTGTTAAGGTATGCTGCTCCAATTCTTTGGAACTCACTGCATTATGCATGCTCTACATTGTTTGTCTGTTTAAAAACTCATTTAAGCTCATCATGCTTTATTATGTTATCTATTAAATATATCTTGCGGACTTAAAAAAAATGTTTTTGTACTTGATTTGATATTTATAAATGGTATATTGGCAATTTCTTGTCATACATGTCAGTTTTGAAATGTATATATATGATGTCACAGCGATATACCAAAAGCCCTTTCTGCACTACAGTGACCAGCAAACTAGACTCATGATCATTTTGATGTATCAATTAGATTGATATTTATAATATATATTAAATTACCTAATTATGATTTTTTTTTTAGCCATGGAAAATATGGATTGGTCTACATCTCAGTACAAGTCAGAGTCATTAGCCGCAGAAGCTTTAGCAGCCGATATGGATAGATGGATAACTTACAGACAGAGACACCAGCCTTATGAAATATTTGAACAATGGTTAAATAAAAACTTACCATCATGCCATTACAGGTATTGCTTGTGAAAAGTGAGTCACATGGTTATGTTGCAGTCCTACATGTCCTTTACACTTCTAAGGAGTAATTTTATAATCACAGTAAATGGTAGTATATGTACATGATGTATAAAACCCCAAAAAATTGACTTTATAAGAAATATAAGTCTGACTTGATTTTTCAAATCAAACTTTTAGTGAAAACTCAAGAAATAAAAGGAGATATAGTGGCCTTAGGCTGTATTCTGCTCTTTGGTCGGGTTGTTGTCTCTTTGAAACATTCCCCATTTCCATTTTCAATTTTACGAATGGGGTAAATGATTAATGTGATATTCTAATATGACGTGCTTCTTTCGCTTTGTAAACAACAGCGTGATAAAATTCTCGATATATCTATACTTAGCGCAGACTCAGAGATGTGCATATTGATGGCTGTTATTTTTTACCTCCCACGTAAATCCACATGTATCGTAACCTGTATGCAAACTCGATTTCGTTGTGTTCAAATTGAAATTGAAAAAGAAACTACAGAACCGTTATTCCTATTATAATGCATAACAAAAAGAAGTAATGCACAAGAGCTTTAAAAATGTATAAAATCAAAATAAAATAAAATAACGCGAAATTTCATGAATGATCTTGGCGCATTAACGTCATGTCATAACATGACGTTATACGAATGAAAACTCTCTAGTCGAAGGTTTTCCGTTACGTATACACCCTAATTTCGCATAATATCGTTAAAATGGAGTTTTGAGGTAGGTGTTGTTTCAATTCCATTCTATTGCATCATTCGCAAATTTGTGGATTTCAGCAAGTCAACATGGAGGCTCACTCCTTAGTTACAACATGTCAATTGTGGATTTGACAGTAAATAGTAGCCAAAGAAAACTAGATGCTCTCAAGAGCTTGTGTCGCTCACCTGTATTTACTGATGCTTTGGAAATCATGTAAAATAAGGTTAAAATCATAATTAATAGTATTAGATATTAGATATTATAATGATATCTAAGATAATAACAAAAAACTGCAAAATTTTTGTAAAATTACTAACTCAGGGGCAGCAACCCCACAACGGGTTGTCGGATTCGACTGAAAATTTCAGGGCAGATAAATCTAAATCTGATGAACATTTTTGCCACCTGTCACATTTGCTCTAAATGCTTTAGTTTCAGAGACATAAACCAAAAACTGCATTTTACCCCTATGTTCTATTTTTAACAAGTCGGCCATGATGGTTGGAAGGCGGGGTCATCGGACAAATTTTTTAAACTAGATACCCTAATAATGATTATGGCCAAATATGGTTAAATTTGTCTCAGTAGTTTCAGAGAAGAAGATTTTTGTAAAAGATTAAAAAAATTTACAAAAAATTGTTAAAAATTGACTATTAAAGGCAATAACTCCTAAAGGGGTCGACTGACAATTTTGGTCATGACAACTTATTTGTAGATCTTACTTTGCTGAACATTATTGCTGTTTACAGTTTATCTCTATCTATAATAATATTCAAGATAATAACCAAAAACTGCAAAATTTCCTTAAAATTACCAATTCAGGGGCAGCAACCCAACAACAGATTGTCAGATTTGTCTGAAAATTTCAGGACAGATAGATCTTGACCTGATAATCAGTTTTATCCATATCAGATTTACTCTAAATGCTTTGGTTTCAGAGATATAAGCCAAAATCTACATTTTACCCCTATGTTCTATTTTTAGCCATGGCGGCCATCTTGGTTGGTTGGCAGGGTCATCGGACACATTTTTTAAACTAGATACCCTAATGAAGATTGTGGCCAAGTTTGGTTAAATTTGGCCCAGTGGTTTCAGAGGAGAAGATTTTTGTAAAAAGCTAACGACGACGGACGACGGACACCAAGTGATGAGAAAAGCTCACTTGGCCCTTCGGGCCAGGTGAGCTAAAAAAAAAGGTTTGGGTTAAGAATTATAAGGATTGAACACATTTTTGCAGTGGTTATTTAAGAAATAATCCATGCAAGACTTAGATTTATTTGAAATATGTAGCTTTTATCTTACAGGGGGTAAATTAGAACAGCCATACCCACGGCAATCTTACCTACGCTTCAGTTTATAAATTGCCGTACTTAGTATTTGTCCTATTAGAATCGAAATAATTCATGGAAGCCATAGATTTGTTGGACATTTACACATAGCCTGGGCCGTGTGTAAATGTCCAACAAATCTATGGCTTCCATGAATTATTTCTTAAACAACCAACAATCACAAACAGCCAAAAATAGACATATGAAAGTCAACATACAGTTTTCAACATGTAACTTTTTTTTAATTTGAAATGGTTTAGACCAAATGATGAATTCCACAAACATTATTAAGACCTCATTCAAGATGACCTTGTTGGTTACTTTTTGGCAGTGAAATATATCACTGTATGATGCAGTGATATGGATCAGTTTTCACACCCTATTTGGGAGCTGCCTGTAGAAGCTATATATTTTTTTTTGGTTGCTTTATGTAGATCTGGTGGGTCAAGCCTTTTTCAACTGGTGTTTACAGTTTGTTCTTATGTTACAACCTGCATAGGGTTTAGTGCTCATAAACAAGTTTTCAGTGGTTGTCTTTGATTGTTGTCTATCTTATTTGTTTTTAGTTTCTAGTTAAGTACATTAATCAGGGTATTTGTCTTGAATTGTTTTACATTTTTTCATGTTGGGGCCTTTTATAGCTTACAATACGGTACAGGTTGTGCTCATTGTTGAAGGAAGTATCAATGACCTATAATTTCCTAGATATACGTCATTTGGTCTCTGGTGGATAGTTATCTCATTTGCAATCATACCACATCTTCTTATCTTTATATTGTTTATGTTAAACATGTTAAAGTGGTCATATTGCACAGTTTAAATGTTTCTTGGTCTTCTGTTAACTTTCATACTGCTTTTTCTCAAATCTTTCTACATCTTATACATACATAGAAGTTCATATAAGAACCTTGCAAAATAACAAAAAATTTGATACATCTCATGAAAGGCTACAAAGGTTAACTTTTATAAATTTTGACTTGGATGGAGAGTTGTCTCATTGGCACTCATACCACATCTTCTTATATCTATATACAAATGTTTATTTTTGCCAATCATGTGCAATATTGGTGTAGATGAAAGGATTCAATAATTTTCAATTTACTGCCTAAATATTTTATTAATACCAGGAAAGATAATTGATATTCATTTTACAATATTCCATAGGATATAATTGGAGTTATCTCCCTCAGCATGAATTTTATAATGCATTCTTTGGACGATGATGGATGGCTGTTTAATGTCTGGCAGCAAATCAAATGCATTCATGATAAAAAAATGTGTTAATGCTATATGATAAATCTGCTTTGTACTAGACTGACATGGTGAAACATATTTGTGACATGCTAATTCAATGGGTTACAGTCTGCAGGAAGGCAAGTCACCAGGCCTGGACAGATTATTATGACTCTAATCCGACCAGTAGAGAAGCAGCAAATACCAATTTTAAAGTCTTTTATTTGACATATTCTCTTTTAACTTGTCAGGAGTGGGGTGACACACTTTTAGGATGTAGGATATAGGGGTATAAAAGTGGGGATGTGGGATATAAGGACTAAAAAAAGTGGGATCTGGCACAAAAGAAGGTAATTAAAATTGGAAATTGGAAAAAATTACAACCAAAGCGGGGTTTGAAACATGAGCACCCCTGTGTCACCACCCTCTGCCAGCATTCCTTTGCCCTAAAGTAATAGGTACATCACCAGTGTAAAAATTTCTTAAAAAGTAATACATTGTACATGAAATGAAACTTGATTAATTTTTTGACCATATTGAGTTTGATTATTTTAGATCAAAGGGAGTTGGTTGGATATGTGTCAGGGGAAACCAAGTTGAAAAAGTGGAAGGATTGGGTGACCTCAGAGGATTACATCAAATGTGGGAGGAAATTCAGAAATCTAACAGACCCATCAATGTGGAGACAATTTCTGATTTAGCCAGAATATTTAAAGTTACACATGGGAAATGGCTGTTCCATGTTGATTCTGGTGCAAAAGCTGACCATTTATGGAGTATTGTTGCTAAGGCTATTGTTAAGGGGGAAATTCCTTGTGAAAGTGCCAAGGTTTCTCCATATGATGACTGTGCTGAAAACAACGACAAGTTTGAACATGTAGTTTGTGTATATAATGATAATTATTTGAATGAGGAGGAAGTTATGGACTGTGAACATGGACTAAGAAAAATTGGTATAAAATGTCCACTGATGTATAAGCCAGATGTTTACACCTATTTAGGAGTTTATCGTAATAATCCATGGGATCTACGACCCACAGTGTATCGTAGTGAATATGATGTCATATCTGGAAAATCCAAAATTGACTTTTCTAGTGCACCAGGTCACAGATAAATGTAGATCAAATTATTAGCTTTACTGAAGAAAATACAATAGTCCCTACATCGTCTTTAATAGAGGCCGTTTTTACTTAGATCCTTATGTACATCATTTAACATTTGTCATAGATGTCCTCCATAAACTTTTTCAAAGGGATATTCCAGTACTAATTATTTTCATCATCTGTCAAAATCATGAGGTCTCCTTACAGCAGTTGTCTTTAAGGAGGATACTTTCCCATTTTAGAGTGTTTGGATATTAACTTGAAAATTATAGTAGATATATAAGAAGAAAACATTTCACAGCAATATAAGATCTATAAAAATATTAATGTCAATGAGTTTGTTTATGTTTTTGATAACTATTAGAATGTACAGATAAGACAATATTAAATAAATGTGGATAGTGTCCACATGTGGACACAGATGATGCCCCCGCTTGCATATCATATAGTTATAAAGGGACATAACTGAAGAACAGTAAAATTGACACTACCCAAATTTGAACTTGATCTGAGTTTTGTGGTAATAAGCATTGTGTGTAAGTCTCATCACATTTGGTTGAGGCTAACTTAAGTAGAGAACAGAAAATAAAAATTCAGCAATTTTTCTATTTGTAAATACGCATAACTCTTAGAACGGTTGTGTATAAGTTTTATAACATTTGGTTGAGACAAACTAAAGTTAGAGAAATGAAACGAAAAATTCAGCAATTTTTATGTTTATAAAGGGACATAACTCAAGAATGGTAAAAGTGACGCCACCAAATTTCGTACTTAATCTGTATTATGTAGTAATAAGCATTGTGTATAAGTTTCATAACATTTAGTTGAGGCAAACTAAAGTTAAAAAACGGAAACAAAAAATTTGTACTTGATCTTAGTTTTGTGGTAATGAATATTGTGTATAGGTTTCATAATGTTTGGTTGGGGCAAACTTAAGTTACAGAATGGAAACTAAAAATTTTGCAATCTTTCGATTTATAAAGGGGTATAACTCTGTGTTTTATCAGTGGAAGTCAAAATTAAACATTGCATTGTATAAAGCATTGATTGTAGTTGATTCAACTATAATCATGGACAAAGGAAGATAACTCCAATTTTAAAAATAAATTGATATTGAGAAGAAAATAAAAATTTTGCAATTTTTCCATTTCTAAAGGGGCATAACTCTAGAACGGTTAAAGTGACGCCACCAAAATTCAAACTTGATCTGTGTTTTGTGGTAATAAGCATTGTGTATAAGTTTCATAACATTTGGTTGAGACAAACTAAAATTAGAGAATAGAAATGAAAAATTCAGCAATTTTTCCATTTGTAAAGGGGCATAACTCTAGAACGGTAAAAGTGACGCCACCAAAATTCAAACTTGATCTGTGTTTTGTGGTAATAAGCATTGTGTATAAGTTTCATAACATTTGGTTGAGGCAAACTAAAGTTAGAGAACAGAAACCAATTTTGGTACGTACGTACGTACGGACGTACGTATGTATGTACGTAAGTTCGTACGTAAGCACGTACAGACGGACAAGGGTAAAACTTAATGCCCCCTCGGCCACGGCGGGGGCATAAAAAAGTACAATGTGAAATACAGTCATGACAGTTATGAATAAGTTTATTTTATAAACAAACATGCCTTGATAAATTATACCTAAGTGTGGGACTAACACATGAAAAATTATTTGTCCCAGCCTAAGTTTATAAAAAATTTCAACAACATAAAAATAAAAATGTAGAAATGCATTTTGTTTTAATGATTATTCCTACAGGTATAAGCCAAATATTCAAAACAAATGATCTAGTTATTAAATAGTCCCTTGTAATATCAAATTCTCCAATTCTACACAAATTCTACCTAAATATAATAAACTGCTTTGCCTAGCACATCTGGAAATGACCACAGAGGTCCAACCCTGAACAGTTGGGGCAAAAATGGACACAATATTCAAGCTTGATACAGGTCTGAATTTGGATTGTAATTAAATATTTGACACATTATAGGTTTCTGACACAGAATAAATGTACTCAAAGAACTTGAAATTGGTTATATGATTTGAATTTATATTCAATTGAAGATTTCTTGCTTTTGTGCAATACACTGTGATGTTGTGCAATACTAAAAAATATAAGTAAATCTGTTTTCAGACTATATACAAGAAGTAGCAAAATAAATTGTGACCCCCATTTTTTCTTTGGAAAATTGACAATTTCTTAAATCTTGAGGGAAAAAAATTGCATTATAGGACCCCAAAATTTTTTTACTGTCATATAAAAAATGTCACTACAAATGTCACTACAGACATGGATACTGCAATCCTGTTTGAAAACATACACACACAGTAAGATGGAACCCATAAAAATGTCACTGTCTAGGAAAGAAAATCCAGAAATTAATTTGGTGTTACAAGGAATTGTTGTTTGCAGAGTAATAAAGTACAGAATGATTCATTGAAAGAATAGATGGAATGAATGAGTAAGGCCAATTTTGACAACCATAATTACAAAGTATTATCAGATATAAATCTATTGAATTATATCCTATATAGATGTTCATAAGACATTTTAAGAAATCAGCTGTGTTGGATAAAATTGGACTTATGCAAATGAATATCAATACATCTGTTAACTTATTTCTGGTTAAAAAAAATCTATGCAAAGTCTGTAACTGCTTGAAAATTTAGTTGTTATAAGAACCCTGCAAAACAGACCAACATTCATCTTTTATTTCGTATTTGAATGTTCCAAAATCAATCAATCATATACATGTACGCAGATCAAGTTCGAATTTGGGTGGCGTCACTTTTACGGTTCTAGAGTTATGCCCTTTACAAATGGAATAAAACGCTCCACTGGGCGCAGCTCGATACGACTGCAGAGGTCGAACCCTGAACAGTTGGGGCAAGTATGGACACAACATTCAAGCTTGATACAGCACTGAATTTGGATTGTGATTAAATATTTGACACAGCATAGGTTTTTGACACAGAATGAATGTGGTCTAAGAACTTAAAAAATTTTAATTTACCTATTCAAACCATATCATTATTATTTGCTTTTTATATATAAATCACAAATAACCAAATTAAAATGGAAAATTTAAAGAAAAAAATGGAAAAAAAATCCCTCCCCCAAATTTTTTGAACCCCCTTATGATTCATCACCCCAAACTCAATCCCAGCCTTCCCTTTGTGGTATGGTACCTTACAGTACAATTTCAGTGAGATCCATACACTTGAACACAAGTTATTGTCTGGAAACTAAAAAAATGATTGTTTTTAGGCCCCTTTTAGGCCCCAAATTCCTAAACGTTTAGGGCAATTACCCCCAAACTCAAACCCAGCTTTCCCTTTGTGAAATGGAACCTTGTAGTACAATTTCATAAAGATCCATACACTTACACACAAGTTATTGTCCTGAAACTAGAAAAATGCTTGTTTTTTGCCCTTTTTTGGCCCCTAATTATTTAAATTTTGAGTCAATTACCCCCAAAATCAATCCCAGCCTTCCCTTTGTGGTATGGTACATTGCAGTACAATTTCAGTGAGATCCATACACTTGAACACAAGTTATTGTCTGGAAACTAGAAAAATGCTTATTTTTAGGCCCCTTTTTGGCCCCTTATTCCTAAACGTTTAGGGCAATTACCCCCAAACTGAATTCCAGCTTTCCCTTTGTGATATGGAACCTTGTAGTACAATTTCATAAAGATCCATACACTTACACACAAGTTATTGTCCTGAAACTAGAAAAATGCTTGTTTTTTGCCCTTTTTTGGCCCCTAATCATTAAAATTTTGAGTCGATTACCCCCAAAATCAATCCCAGCCTTCCCTTAGTGATATGGAACCTTGTAGTACAAGTTCAGAAAGATCCATACACTTACACACAAGTTATTGTCATGAAACTAGAAAAATGCTTGTTTTTTGCCCCTTTTTTGGCCCCTAATTCCAAAAATTTTGAGACAATTACCCTCAAAATTAATCCCAGCAATTCCTTTGTGATATGGAAACTTGTGGTACAATGTCAGAGAGATCCATACACTTACACACAAGTTATGTCTGGAAGTTACAAAAATGCTTATTTTTGGCCCCTAATTCCTTAACTGTTGGTACCATAACCCCCAAAATCAATCCCAACCTTCCTTTTGTGGCATTGAACCTTATGGTAAAATTTCATAGAGATCCATTCACTTAAACTAAAGTTAGAGTGCGAAAACCAATGTGTCTTCGGACGACTACGACGACGACAACACCAATGTCATACCGATATACGTCCGCAAATTTTGCGGTCGTATAAAAATTGCTGAATTTTTCGTTTCCGTTCTCTAACTTAAGTTTGCCTCAACCAAATGTTATGAAACTTATACACGATGCTTATTACCACAAAAATCAGATCAAATTCGAATTTGGGTGGTGTCACTTTTACCGTTCTTGAGTTGTGTCCCTTTATAAAGTTCTATGCAAGCGGGGGCATCATCTGTGTCCCATGGAAACAGTCTGTATTTATTATACACATGTCATAGACCGAATATATTATGGTATAGTATTGTCCATCTATCCTTCTGTCCATCCGCCCGTTCATCTGTCAACATGTCCTACACATGTACAAGAACTAGGGAATGCTCTGGTAAAATTATATGAAACTTGTATGGAATATTTGAATCAGTGAAAAAAGCTGCTTTTCAATTTTGAACTTGTTTTCAGTTTTTACTTCCACATTTAGGGGACTTTTACCATTTGAATTCAGGAAAATATTCCTATAGCTTGCATTGATTCCAATATGCTTGGATCAATTTGTTGGGGTTGGTAAAAGATCACTTTAGATTTTGAAATTTTGCTGTTTTATCATTAATATTAATTGGGCTCACATTCAGATTTCTGGAAATTTTTCACATGTTGGGCACTTTAATACTCAAGTATGCTTTGATTATAAATTTACTTCAAACTTTAACTGTTGTTGGAATAGGCTCCCTTTATATTTTGAAATGTCAGATTTAAGGAAATATATCACATGCATTTGGCTTGTATATCTCAAGTAAGGATATCCCCTATGAGTTTTTCTGCAGGGCTACTTTACTGACATTTCATTTAATGTGGTCTACAATATTCTATTAGTACAATTTAAATATGCATAATATGACAAACATATGTTGGTCCTCTAGTGCAGCTGTTTATTATATTTCTTGTTTAAATAAATATAAGCTGGTCTGATTTATAAACCTGGGCATCAAACCGACCCATGCTGACTAATCAACATTTGCTTATTTTAACATTAGAAAATTATACATATTATGTAATAGGATGCTCTGACAATTACACCTGAATAATTTCCCATAGACTTTTAAAATAATACAACTATAGGCTAAAATCTTGATAGTTATAATACAAAACATTTCCATATTATCAAATGAAAAACATAAATATTAAAAAAGAAACAATTCACAGTATATATCAACATTTTTAACATACCATGAAAGTAAACAAACATCAACATCCATGGTATTCACACTCTTAAACTAGAGGCTCTCAAGAGCCTGTGTCGCTCACCTGTATTTACTGATGCTTTGGAAATCATGTAAAATAAGGTTAAAATCATAATTAATAGTATTAGATATTAGACATTAAAATGATATCTAAGATAATAACAAAAAACTAAAATTTCTGTAAAATTACCAACTCAGGGGCAGCAACCCAACAACAGGTTGTCGGATTCGTCTGAAAATTTCAGGGCAGATAAATCTAAATCTGATGAACATTTTTGCCACCTGTCAGATTTGCTCTAAATGCTTTAGTTTCAGAGATATAAACCAAATACTGCATTTTACCCCTATGTTCTATTTTTAACCAAGTCAGCCATGATGGTTGGAAGGCGGGGTCATCGGACAAATTTTTTAAACTTGATACCCTAATAATGATTATGGCCAAGTATGGTTAAATTTGTCTCAGTAGTTTCAGAGAAGAAGATTTTTGTAAAGGTGAGCTAAAAATGAAAACAACATGTTATTAATGTTACACGTCTTAATTCTTAAATAATGTAAACATAGCACACTTATAAAAACAACCATCTTCATTTCATAATACTACAACTTTAATTTGATTTAACAATATACATTTCTTTTTCCAATCTAGAATGATGGTGACATTTTCAACTGATTTTTACAGTTTGTTCTTATGTTGTACTGTTACACCAGTGACCCAGGTTAGGGGGACAGTTGAGTTTTCAAAAACAAGTTTAACCCTGGCAAATTTTTTATGTGCCTGTCCCAAATCAGGTGCCTGTATTTCAGTTGTTGTCATTGGTTGCTGTCTGTTATATCTGTTTTTGCTTTACAATGTTCTGTCATAAATCAGGCCTTTGGTTTCTTGGTTTAATTGTTTCCCATTTTTTCATCTTTGGGCCTTTTATTGCTGATTTATACATGTTAATTGGACTATGTTGGATAGTTGTCTCATTGGAAGTCATACCAAATAGCCTTATTTTAGTATCTTTCATTTTCTTTAACCAAATAGTTTCATAAACTTATCTATAATTAACACAACAGGTTTCTAGATATGGTAGATATTCACCAAGAAAGTGTTAACAGCTACAGTATTTTAAGCAGTATGCATATATGTGAGATACATATGTTGTTTAAAAAATGACCAACCAATAAACCTCAAGTACTAGGATAAAAAAAATGAGACTGAAATCTACTAAACAATAACAATTTGAACGTGAAAACATGATGGATAAAAAGAAAAATAAATTTCAAATTCTTGACTTGGCACTGAAAAGACAATTAATGTCATCCTAAACTTAAATGTTGCATAATTTAGAGCTACGAGGGTGTTTAACCACCTTGACTACCCATGAGGGTCTCACACTGTCGGTTTAGTTTAGATTGGATCCTCCACTATAGGCGACTTTCAAATAGTGCATTTTCCTGTACATTTCCTATGTCACAATGCTTATGTAATTATGTCACAGTAAGAACAGATAGTTAAATGACTTCCCCCTGATTGACCTCGGGTTAAACGGTGGATAACTCATTCGTAAAAGAACTCAAGATTGGTCTATGTATATTCCTACAGGAAAGAAATGTCCTATTCTAACATCAGACAATTTTTACTTGTCTACTAGTTAGATTACTCAATTTCATTTCCTAATAATAGCTTCAAACTCTGGTGTCCAGTAGAGAAAGAGTTACTGCTGCCCATACTTGATACCAAAAAATGCTTTATTTGTAACCTGTTACTTCACAGTAGGACGGAGGTGGAGCTGATTGTTGATGATTGTCATGTAAACTATTTTGCACATTTGAATCTTGGAAACCAGTATTTCCAGAGTGTGTCCTTTGATTATCAGAGAAGTGTGGTACCATTGGTTGATCTGTAAATATATTAATTTTAGTTTAAAAGCAATTCTAACTAAAAATAAACTGCTTCCCCGAGCGCAGCTGTATACGACCGCAGAGGTCCAACCATGAACAGTTGGGGCAAAAATGGACACAATATTCAAGCTTGATACCGGTCTGAATTTGGATTGTATTTATATATTTCACACAAAGAATTAGCAAAATAAATTGTGACCCCCAATTTTTCTTTGGAAAATTGATAATTTCTTAAATCTTGAGAATAAAAATTGACACCCCCCCCCCCCCCCCCCCCCTGCCCAAAAAAAGTTGGGCTATTACCCCCAAAATGAATCCCAACCCAACCAAAGTGGTATTGAACCTTGTGGTACAATTTCAGAGCAATCAAAATACTTATACATAAGTTATTGTCTTGAAACTAGAAAAATGCTTGTTTTTTGCCCCTTTTTGGCCCCTAATTCCAAAAATTTTGAGACAATTACCCCCAAAATCAATCCCAGCCTTCCCTTAGTGGTATGGTACCTTGCAGTACAATTTCAGAGAGATCCATGCACTTGAACACAAGTTATTGTCTGGAAGTTACAAAAATGCTTATTTTTGGCCCCTTTTTGGCCCCTTATTCCTAAACGTTTTGGGCAATTACCCCCAAACTCAATTCCAGCTTTCCCTTTGTGATATGGAACCTTGTAGTACAATTTCAGAAAGATCCATACACTTACAAACAAGTTATTGTCACGAAACTAGAAAAATGCTTGTTTTTTGCCCCTTTTTTGGCCCCTAATTCCTAAAATTTTGATGCAATTACCCCCAAAATCAATCCCAGCATTCCCTTTGTGATATGGAACCTTGTGGTACAATGTCAGAGAGATCCATACACTAACACACAAGTTATGTCTGGAAGTTACAAAAATGCTTATTTTTGGCCCCTTTTTGGCCCCTAATTCCTTAACTGTTGGTACCATAACCCCCAAAATCAATCCCAACCTTCCTTTTGTGGTATTGAACCTTATGGTAAAATTTCATAGAGATCCATTCACTTAACTGAAGTTAGAGTGGGAAAACCAATGTGTCTTTGGACGACGACGACGATGACATCGACGCCAACGTCATACCAATATACGACCACAAATTTTTTTTGCGGTCGTATAAAAACCCTGGGGCAATTATTCCAAAATGGTTGCCCAATTTTTCTGAAAATTCCACAGAAGAAAGAAATTGACCTGTTTAATATCAGTGGCATAGCCACCTGGAAATAAAATTGTAAGCAGCTGAACAATTATTGTAAAATTCTTGTTGAAAAAAAAATTGCTAAAATCATTTGACAGCAGCTATGCCACTGAATCTCTTTTACCCTATGCAAGTTTCCCCATAACTGTTTTAGTTTACTAAAATTAATTACAGCCATCAGTCTTGGTGTAATGCTAATTGTTCAGAGGAGTAGAACAGCTACTGACTTTCATCAAAATTGCTACGATAGAATTTATCTAGAGAAGCATACCTGTACTTAGAGATTAAAGCTGATTATGTATGTACAGGGACATGCAGATCAGTGTATTTGAAGATACATGTACTCAAATCCCCTTGTCTTTGTTTTAGTGAAATAAAAACAATAAGTGTTAATACCTCGAAAAGGAACAGATACATCATTATTTGCATATGTAATAGGAGCTGCCATTATAACCATATTTCCTTGTCTACCCAGAACAACTCCTCCGGATTGTTCCATTTGTCTCAAAGCAGCCTGTCGTCTTTTATATACACAGTAAAATACAACAACCATGAAAACAACCATTGCAACACCAATGCATGCTGCTACTGCTACAGAAGCTGGAAAAATAATTTATCCTATTTAATTATATTATACTACATATTTCCAACTGCTATTTACAAAAGTTTTTTCCATCATTTTGGTTAAATGGACTGCTATTTTCTGTTTGCAGATATTTCTTACACCATTTTATACAGGGGTATATAAATTTCATGACAGTTTATGTTTGTGTAGCCATGACACTCATAGCTGTGCTTCCCTTGACCAAAGCAGATAAATAAGAGCTTTCTATTAGCTTGCAAGTTATAAAGAGTAGTTAGTGGCTTGGTATGCAACAGGTCAAGAGTTGATCAATTTAGGTGGCACAATTTTAATTTAAGAAGTAGAGTTATCTTCAACTGGTGCTCAAACTAAAAACCCAATGGATATTTAAATAAAGATGGCCTATTGAAAGGTGTTCAGATGTGAGATGGGATTTGATATTTGAACTTGAAATTGGTTTTGGTTATTTTTATTCACAACTCCACCAAAACCATATAAAGGCATAAACTTATATGATGTGACATTTGTATGTTATGATATATGCCGCCTAAATTATTTATAATCCACAACATTTTTGTAGATTTGTTGATTTTTATAATAAAATATAGAATCTGGGGCCTGCTTTTGATTCTTTTTAGCTACCTATGAAGTAGTTAACAGGGACTATCTGACTATATATATATATATATTTTTCCACACAATTTTCTGTAATGCTTTTACATATGGATTTGACATTTGTATTTAATCATATTGAATGAATGATTGATTGGTGTTGAACACCTCTTTCAGCACTTTTCCTGGCGGTCAATTTTTGTTAGTGGAGGAAGCCAGAGTGCCCAGAGAAAACCACAGACCTTCGGCAAGAAATCTGACAATCCTAGTCAAGCACACCTGCCACATGTGGGGTTCGAACTCACAACCTCAGTGTTGACAGGCTGTTGATACAGTAGTTGGACTCCTTAGACCACTTGGCCACCGAGACCCCGCATATTAAATGATGTAAATGATAAATAGTTGTTGGCAATACATGTGTCTGCATCTTGGAATAAATTTTGGTCCAACTGAAAATAAGATTGACATTCCCTACTACATCAGCAACAACTTAATGCTTGTCCCATATTAATGTAAATACACCAAATGTAAACAGAACAGCCCATAGGGGACATTGTGCTGCATATGTAGTACCCTCATATATCCCAAATCCCCTTTTATTGACAGATAAATAACTCCTTATGCATTCTCGTGTCAAAATTCTCATGTACAGGTCCAGTCAGATGTCACCAAGTAAAGAAAGAAGCACAGTGAGTTTAGAACTAACTTAATACAAGAACTGTGAGTCAGCTCACAAAAAGGATAACACCTGCCCTACAATACTATTAGTATAATCAAAATATGAATAATGAAGTCTATACAAATTTAAATAAAATGCTTCGCTGAGCGCAGCTGGATACGACTGCAGAGGTCCAACCCTGAACAGTTGGGGCAAAAATGGACACAATATTCGCGCTTGATACAGGTCTGAATTTGGATTGTAATTAAATAATTGACACATAATAGGTTTCTGACACCGAATAACTGTAGTCAAAGAACTTAGAATTGGTTATATGATTTGAATTTTTATTCAATTTTATGCTTTTGTGCAATAAACTATGCTGTTGCGAAATTGACCCCCCCCCCCCCCAAAAAATAATTTAACCCCCTTTTTTTTGGCTTTTGTGAAATACACTGCTGTTGCGTATTGTATTTTGCGAAGTCTATACAAATTTAAATAAAATGCTTCGCTGAGCGCAGCTGGATACGACTGCAGAGGTCCAATCCTGAACAGTTGGGGCAAAAATGGACACAATATTCGCGCTTGATACAGGTCTGAATTTGGATTGTAATTAAATAATTGACACATAATAGGTTTCTGACACCGAATAACTGTAGTCAAAGAACTTAGAATTGGTTATATGATTTGAATTTTTATTCAATTTTATGCTTTTGTGCAATAAACTATGCTGTTGCGAAATTGACCCCCCCCCCCCCCCAAAAAAATAATTTAACCCCCTTTTTTTTGGCTTTTGTGAAATACACTGCTGTTGCGTATTGACCCCCCCCCCCCCCTTTTTTTTTTTGCAAAAAGAAATAATATTTGAAGAAATTTTCTTTTTAATTTCTGAAATCTGAAATGAAAAAAAAAATTGGCCCCCACAATTTCTTTTTTACATTCCTTCCCCCTTAAATTTTTTTTCACCTCCCCCCCCTTTTCCAAAAAAAAAATTCTTTCCCTCAAGATATAGTCATAATCTCAATTCAAATTTCCAATGGAGTTTGCAACCATAATTACTAATTTAAATACATCATAAAAGTCTTAAGATAGAAAAAAAAAATCCCCCCCACCAATTTTTTGATCCCCTTATGATTCATCACCCCAAACTCAATCCTAGCCTTCCCTTTGTGGTATGGTACCTTGCAGTACAATTTCAGAGAGATCCATACACTTGAACACAAGTTATTGTCTGGAAACTAGAAAAATGCTTGTTTTTTGGCCCCTTTTTGGCCCCAAATTCCTAAACGTTTAGGACAATTACCCCCAAACTCAAACCCAGATTTCCCTTTGTGATATGGAACCTTGTAGTACAATTTCATAAAGATCCATACACGTACACACAAGTTATTGTCCTGAAACTAGAAAAATGCTTGTTTTTTGTCCCTTTTTGGCCCCTAATTCCTAATATTTTGAGGCAATTACCCCCACAATCAATCCCAGCCTTCCCTCTGTGGTATGGTACCTTGCAGTACAATTTCAGAGAGATCCATACACTTGAACACAAGTTATTGTCTGGAAACTAGAAAAATGCTTATTTTTGGCCCCTTTTTGGCCACTTATTCCTAAACGTTTTGGGCAATTACTCCCAAATTCAATTCCAGCTTTTCCTTTGTGATATGGAACCTTGTAGTAAAATTCTAGAAAGATCCATACACTAACACACAAGTTATTGTCATGAAACTAGAAAAATGCTTGTTTTTTGGCCCCTAATTCCTACCTAAAATTTTGAGGCAATTACCCCCAAAATCAATCCCAGCCTTCCCTTTGTGATATGGAACCTTGTGGTAAAATTTCATAGAGATCCATTCACTTAAACTAAAGTTATTGTGCGAAAACCAATGTGTCTTGGGACGATGACGGCGCCAACGTCATACCAATATATGACCGCAAAAAATTTTTGCGGTCGTATAAAAATAGGAAATGGAGCAAATACAATTTTACAATCTTTGAAGAGACAAGAGTCCCCTTTAACATGTAGGACCGGGAAAACTTTCGTTTACCGGTATGTACATCCTTTGATATTGTTTTTCAACTGCATACAATATATCATTATCATTCTAGCTGTTTAGGAGTTAATTGTGCTTACAATACTGAACAGACTATTACCACATATTGCAATATTGAAGTAAGTAATTAAGATCAGTTATCTCCCCTCTAACATGCATTCAGGGTTAATACTTATACAAGTGTTTTTAGCTCAGCGGGGCACAAAGGGCCCCATGTGAGCTTATGCCATCACTTGGCGTCCATCGTCTGCCGTCGTAAACTATTTCAAAAATCTTCTCCTCTGAAACTACTGGGCCAAATACCTTCAAACTTTAACTAAATGTTCCTTAGGGTATCTAGTTTATAAATTGTATCCGAAGTTTTGATCCATCGACAAACATGGCCGCCATGGCTAAAAATAGAACATAGGTGTCAAATGCAGTTTTTGGCTTATATCTCAAAAACTAAAGCTTTTAGAGCAAATCTGACAATGGGTAAAATTGTTCAGTTGGTCAAGATCTATCAGTTCTGAAATTTTCAGACAAATCGAACAACCCATTGTTGGGTTGCTGCCACTGAATTGGTAGTTTGAACAAAATTTTGCAGTTTTTTGTTATTATTTTGAATATTATTATAGATATATATAAACTGTAAGCAGACATAATGTTCAGCAAAGTAAGATCTACAAAAAAGATAACATGACCATAATTGTCAATTGACCCCTTAAGGAGTTATTGCCCTTTAAAGACAATTTTACACAATTTGTTCATCAAGTTTGCTAACATTTAAAAATCTTCTCCTCTGAAACTACTGGGCCAATTACCTTCAAACTTTAACTAAATGTTCCCTAGGGTATCTTGTTTATAAACTGTATCCAAAATTTGTATCCATCAACAAACATGGCTGCCATGGCTAAAAATAGAACATAAGGGTCAAATGCAGTTTTTGGCTTATATCTCAAAAACTAAATCTTTTAGAGCAAATGTGACATGGGGTAAAATTGTTAAATTGGTCAAGATCTATCGGCCCTGATATTATCAGACGAATCGAACAACCCATTGTTGGGTTGCTGCCACCAAATTGGTAGTTTTAACAAAATTTTGCTGTTTTTTGTTATTATTTTGAATATTACTATAGATATATATAAACTGTAAGCAGACATAATGTTCAGCAAAGTAAGATCTACAAAAAAGATAATATGACCATAATTGTCAATTGACCCCTTAAGGAGTTATTGCCCTTTAAAGACAATTTTACACAATTTGTTCATCAAGTTTGCTAACATTTAAAAATCTTCTCCTCTGAAACTACTGGGCCAATTACCTTCAAACTTTAACTAAATGTTCCCTAGGGTATCTTGTTTATAAACTGTATCCAAAATTTGTATCCATCAACAAACATGGCTGCCATGGCTAAATATAGAACATAAGGGTCAAATGCAGTTTTTGGCTTATATCTCAAAAACTACATCTTTTAGAGCAAATGTGACATGGGGTAAAATTGTTAAATTGGTCAAGATCTATCAGTTCTGAAATTTTCAGACAAATCGAACAACCCATTGTTGGGTTGCTGCCACTGAATTGGTAGTTTGAAAAAAATTTTGCAGTTTTTTGTTATTATTTTGAATATTATTATAGATATATATAAACTGTAAGCAGACATAATGTTCAGCAAAGTAAGATCTACAAAAAAGATAACATGACCATAATTGTCAATTGA